TATAGGCCATAGGCTGAAGCCTGTATCGTTAAGTTTCGCTCCACTTATTGAGGGACTACTAAATGACACCTGCAAAAAAATCCTTAGTGCATTTTGAGCTCATAACCAAAAGTTCTCCAATCGCTTTGCGCCAGTATTTTTACAATAATTACTTAAAAATGTAACTATATCGGTAGCCTGATCACACCGGTAAAATACGGTCGAATCAAGCCGCCTAGCCGTCAGCCAATCAGAGCGCGTCCTTCAGGTGCGCTCTCCCATTCAGAGGCGAGAACAGAAGAACAACAACAAACATGGCTGCTCCCGTGGAGCTGCGCGTTTCCGTTGATCAGACAAAAAACGCAAGAAAAATGAGGATTATATGTGCATCACACACATATAATCGGTAGACAAAGAACGGACACAGCCACTAACAGTTGTTCGTGGAAGAAGCTGGTCGTATGTGCCCGTAAGTGTATTGACGGAATTGACCGCACGTTGGCGGAGGAACACACGGCAAAGAAAAGGTAAATTGGTCCAAGCAGAAACTATAAATACTGGTGATTAGATAATTTGCAGACAGCATCTTTGTTTGTGGCTTATAATCAAAAGCTAAAGTAATACATTTGTTGATAAGAAAAATGCATGTGTAATTGGTGCCAGCCCTAGCCTTCTCACATTATTATGAAGTAGGTGTATGAAGGCTATGTGTAGGGCCTCAATAATAATAAAAGGCATTATTATGAACTTGAAGTGATGATAGGCAATTAATTGATTCGTCAAATAATGGTTAGATTTTTAAATTTGTCACCCAACTACCAGTTCAGTCTGGTAAAACAGAGAAAATGTATTTGATATTATTTGTTGGCAGCTGGTTTATGATTGAACTTTAACTCTCTCTTTGCTAGGGAGTTTGGTTAATGCAGCTGAAGTGAAAATGGACGAATCCATCCTCAAGGATGTACGTGGAAAAGATTGTGTCGCAATTGAAGTCCGGTAGCACAAACGGTTCTACAACGAAAGTTCAATTCAATTCAATTTTATGTATATTGATACTAATGATAATGATAGGAGTTATGACAGAAATAACACTATGCAAAGTATTAGCAGAGCAGGAAAACAGAGCAGCAGGAAACTCCCAATCACAGATCCAGACTCCACAGCTCTAGGAACACCTGCAGGAAGTGATAGGAGGAGACTCCTATCCCTCCTATGATTTTGATGATTAATAGTTTCTTTGTATTTTCTATTGTAATTCTCAAGTCGTAACAACCCGAAGTGATCCTAAAATGTTTAACATCTCAAGGCTTGCTGGGTCCAACAAAAGTAATTGTTTAAAAACAGAAATGTCTTTGTGCCTTCTTTAATTCCCTGTACATTTCCATATTAAGTCTTGCCTCAGAGGAGTGAATTCACAACCCACGGGTTAGCTGATTGAAACCATTTCATTTCTGAAAACCAATTTGAATATTTGTCCATAGTTAACTGAAGTTTGTAGTAAATGTAAAAAAAAACAATCTTGTAGCTTATAAATAAGAGTTCATTTTTTAATGTTGTGATATTAATACTTTCCATTGTTCTCATAAATAATCAATAATTATGATTATTATTCTTCCTATTGTTATGAGGCATCTGAAAACTTTACCCCTTTTCAAAATCATGTTATCATTGCTATTGCCATTTGTCAATAGTTACTGAGTGGAGATTTATAAATGGTTAGAATCGGTCTTTATAATTATATATGTACATGTATAAAATTTGGGAGATATCAACTTTGGCATGCTTAGTACTTGGTAGAATTGTTCAAAAGTAATTGAAAAATGATATGTAGGTTTCTTATTCTCTTTCAGTTTTTCTGAAGATGATTAATTCTCTCTGTAAATATTCATAAATGTTGCAACAAACAGAAGAAGTAACTCTTGTTGGTGTGGGAATGGAGTGGTGGTGGTGGTGGGGGGGGGGGGTTGTTACTATTATTTTTGTTATTATTTGTTCATTAATTCCATGATTGCTTAAGTTGATATCAGATCCATTGAATAAACAGTATAAATTTACTTGAAGATTCTTCTAGTTTTTATAGTTATTTCCGAAAATTTTGCTTCCAATATTGTAACTGGTCTGCTAGGTGATAAAATTCACACCACTTTAAATAGTTTTTAATTAACCAGACACAAGGGATATCTTTCTATTAGAGTTTTTCAATTTAAAATTCAAAGAATTGCAGTTTTCATGTGCAATAAATATATATTTTGGGAAATTGTGAAATTGTTCAAAACTGTATGTTTTCATTTAGAATAACTTCTTACTTAAAGCACGCAGAACATTGCCGCTTTAGAAGCTCTGAGTAAGTATGAATGTCTGTGGGAATAAAAAATTTGAGTACAATCGCATTAATAATAAAAAAGTTACGAGGGTTTGAAAATGGTAGAAGACCCAAAATCGGCACTTTTTTGGGTAAACTGCCACTTTGGCACCCATTTTCTCAAATACTGGCAGGAATCCCATGGAGAACTTTTTTTCCCAGCTCCAGTACATATTCAAGATTGGAAAAGTGCTATCAAAAGTAGTCCCCAGGTTAGTGGAGCGAAATCCTATTTCTAGCCACATTTTGAGCTTCAGCCTATGGCCTATATTGTAACTGGTTTGCTAGGTGATAAAATTTACACCACTTTTCATAGTTATTAGTTAACCAGACACAAAGGGATATCTTGCAATTAGAATTTTTCAATTGAAAATTCAAAGAATTGCAATTTTCATGTGCAATAAAGATACATTTTGGGAGATTGTGAAGTTGTTCAAAAGTGTATGTTTTCATTTAGAATAACTCCGTACTTAAAGCACGCAGAACATTGCCGCTTTAGAAGCTCAGAGTAAGTATGAATTTCTGTGGGAATTAGAAATTTGAGTACGATCGGCTTAATAATAAAAAAGTTACAAGGGTTTGAAAATGGTAGAAGACCCAAAATCGTCACTTTTTTGGGTAAACTGCCACCTTTGGCACCCATTTTCTCAAATACTGGCAGGAATCCCACGGAGAACTTTTTTTCCCAGCTCCAGTACATATTCAAGATTGGAAAAGTGCTATCGAAAAGTAGTCCCCAGGATAGTGGAGCGAAATCCTATTTCTAGCCACATTTTGAGCTTCAGCCTATGGCCTATGTCTGCCATTACATTTTCCATTGGGAAACAACTGGAAATCTTTTTTATCTGGTGCATTAACATGAAACCTAACAGCAAAGAACTGGTGAGTTTGTTGAAAATGTTGTGCATCAACCTTAAGCTGAAGAAGTCCTTGGGTTGGGACACTCTCAAAGATGTACATGAGCTCAGATGAGGGGGTATCTCTATCCTGAGCGAACAGCCTAACGCTGGAAATAATCCTGGCTTCTCCTGGCTCCACCTCCAGGCCGTTATTCCTGAAGGAACAGCAGGAAACAGCGGGTCACATGGAGGCATATTTTGAACGTGAGCTCTGAGGAGGATACCGGTCTCACCGGATGACCCGCGGCTCCTGGTCATTCACGGGCAGCACGTGAACGGTCAGCTGTCTGTGGAGACGGTGTCTGCCATCACTTAGCTGGATGGTAAAACTATCCTCCATATTCTCAGAGTCATCATGCATGTACATCAGATCCAAACCTGTGGCACACATATACACACACATATATAATTTTCATTATATACGAGGAATCCGACTTCTATGTGTTTTTTCTAATTTTTCTAAATTGATTATATCTCAAAATGTCACATAAAGTGCCAAGTTTTCTGCTAGCCTGTCCAGCCCCCAGAGAGACTGTAAGATCCTTTTATGAACAATCATGGGTGAAATGGTGCATTAATGTGTAAAAAGTACCATTGGTGAGATCTGCCATGGTGAAGTCCACTACCGAGGACTGAAGGTTGACTCCTCCTCTCTTGGTGATTCTTTTGTAGTCGCCGTCATTAATGATGCTGCCATGTAGAGGAGGTTTGACCACAGAGAAGAGCAGCTCGTCTTTGGGAATGTCCAGGTCCATGACATTCAACACTGATGAATCCAACTGCTTCATTTCTCCCTCTCGCACCTCCAACACACAGAGTCCTTTTAAGAGCACGTCCTCTGAGCAAAGTCTGAGGGGAATGCTTGTTATGGTTTCATTGATATGGTTTTTGAGAGTAGAACAACTTACAGTGATGTTGCGAGTCACAAATTCTGGGATTTCATCGTTTGTAGGAGTGATGATGATGTAGAAGGGGACATGGGCAGAGCTGTGCGTGCCATCCGACACACAGAGCAGGAACTGGTCAGCCGTGGGCTCCATCCTCTGGTGTCTGCTCTGTACATAGTTTATATGACCATCCAGGATGTCTTTGAATGGAAAAGAAGCTGGACAGGGACAGGAAAGATCAACCACTGGAAACTACTTGTTGGTTTACGTGTCTGGTGACAATATGAGTGTGATCGTGCTCACCGATGCTTATGCCTGTGTTTCTTGTCTCAAAGCCAGGATTAGGAAGGATATTTTCTATGTAACCAAACTGGGGAGGAGAAATCAAACTGACCACGAGCTTATCCACATCTGTGTCCGCGTCAGAGACCTTTAAATGAGATGCAGTTATTGAGGCAGACCCACCTTCATCCACCATAAAGATGTCACCTATGATCAAGAAAGAAAAGTTTGCAAAACATTATGCTGTAGCTTTTTTATCTCACAAATGGGCTATTGTGGCTCCTTTTGGGTTTTTTAGCTGACCTGTTGTTAGTGAAGGTGGCTGGCTATCAACAGGAAACACAGTGATCTGGAGATCATACACAGGCAAACCGGCCCTTAGCGGAGTGGTGCCTCTGCTGATGGGGGGGTCCCCCCCACCGCAACACAAAGCAGAAGCCTCCGTCCCTCCATCAGAAATGACGAATGTGATGGTGTCATGGCGGGGTGTTAGACCAATCTCTAGACCTAAAGCACGACATAGAACGATGCATTTAAGATTCCCATCTGCCTGCAGATACTGTACTGTAATTCATCATTACAGGATATTTATAGTGTATACACAGCAGATATACTGTATAAACATATAGTTGCATCTGTGTAAAATTCAAATAGTCAAAGGAAAAGTGTTTATTGGTCAATTGTCATGCTGTTTGTATTTGGAAAGTCAGCAAATCAAAAAGTTTTAGATAGATATGTTCACAAAGATAGGGGTGACCCTAAGCCATGAATGACTCAATTTTGAGGGACAGGTAATGGCACCTCCCAATTATTCCCTTATTTGATCATTAATTAAAGCAAACCAACCATTTCTCACCCATTGCATGTCCATATTTGGTTGAAAGCATTTGTCATCATGACAAAATCACAACGAGCAAGTAAAGTTTTTTGAGTTGAGTGTGCTATCATGCTCATGGAGCTTTGTACATTTTGTCAATAAGGTTTTTGAAACTAAAGAGCGTTAGGCTATAATAACCTAAATCCAGGTGTTTACTTCAAGAAAGTCCAATATCCTTTTTACGCTTGGACACAACCACGTGTATCATTTTTCCTCACATGTAATTCTTTAGTATTTGTACAAAAACCCTACCCAAGATGGACATCTCCTTCAGAGGGCATGCCATGTGCTAGCCCTTAGTCAAAAGCACTTAGACCTGTAATGTGGACGTATTTACCTGTGTGTCTGTAGGAGATGATGCCAGCAGTGATGTCTGCCTGGATGAAGCGGTCAACCACCACCCCACCTCGCAGCACCACACCGTGATAAGGCTGCCGGGCAATTAGGAACGCCAGGCTGCCGTTGTCACTGTCCATATCCGTTGCACAGATATACTCAGTTGTGATGACTATCTCTTGTCCCTCTGCACACCTGAGAACTGGTTTCAAACCGGTGACCACCACCGGGACCTCGTCGTTGACGGGTGTCACCTGGAAATGGCAAACGTGAGGGACTGCAAGAATCAAACTAATGAACTCTCCTCTCTGTGTGTTATTTCCTCAACAGTTACCTTCACCAGCAAAGTAAAAATGACAGAATTGGTGCCGTCTGTTGCAATGAATTCCATCCTGTCCTCGGTAGTTTCTGAACTGTCATGACTGTAACTGTATTGACAAGAAAGAAAATCTAAGATTTAGAACATACCCTGACAAATTGTGTCACTAGGGTACTTTAAAAGGATACTTTCCTACATGAGTTGAAATTTCTGTTATCTAAGAACTTGCGTTCTAAAGAAAACCACATGTCCTACACACAAGCATATAAAATGTTTCAACTAAAACTGTTAACATTAGCATCTGGCAGGATGTCTGACCTAACTTTAAGGCCTCTCAGGTCTTGCAGAGTGAAGTTCTGCCCCGGTTTAAGCTGAAGGCCACCAAGCTGCAGAGTCCCATGCTCTGGTTCCTTCCTGAGCTCCACTTGTAGGGCTTTTTCTGCAGAGTCCACGTCGGACAGCAGCATGTGTTCCGGGCCGATCCGGCTCTGCCCTCCCTCATCCACCGTCAGAGGGTTGGTGATGACCTGAAATAAGTGTGGACATCCTCTCTGTATACATCCACAAAAGCTGAACTAAAAAGGAAGAAGACAAACATGCTTTCTACCTGTGGGGGCTGGTTGTCCACCGGCATCACGGTGATGTTAAAACAGATCCCAGGGACTGTTTTGCCCACGTGATTGGTCACAGAAAGGACAAACTGGATATACTGAGGGTGAGGGCCGATGTCCATAACCGGAGGCATGTAGGCTACTTTCATGAAGTTCACTGCATGCTGGAAACAGTTTGGCAAATACGGAGCTTTTAGGGAATCAGGCAGCTTGGGTACTAACTATGATACTGAGGGGAGGAGAGAAGAACCGGGTTGGTTACCTGTGTGAAGAGCCTCAGAACCGGTGCATTGCTGTCTTTGGTGAATTTTGGTATGCTGTCAACCAGGAACAACCTCCCAGCATCCAGACCTCTGCTTATAGACACAACCACACAAACTTCAGACAGAATCATTTCCGTTCCTTTATTTGTGAAGATGAATACATACAAACCTGTGAGGACCGGTGTAAAAAGGGAGGGTGGTGACTGTGTACGTCAGCTCACTGTCCGGGGACCTCTGGTCTACAAAGTGGAGCTGCTGTCGTGTGATATGGGCCACCTCTGTTTCTTTGACCACCAAACATCGAGTGGAACCAGGCACCTCTTTAGGTGGCTGGTCTGGAACAGGCTCTATGTGCACCATCACCACCTGGACATTACCATGGAAATCATTCACTCGGTTTTCAAGAACAAACCTGAGAGATCTCATAGCTTAGTACATGTATATTTTAAATACATTTTCTTCCATGAACAATGAAGGTCAGTAGTACAAGGGTTCCCCATAACCTGTTATTTTGTAGATGCACATGTCTGCTAGACTAAATTATACTAGATGTAAAAAAAGTAAACAGAATTTACAATTGTTTATGTTCCGATTACTTTTCTTTTAGTAATTCAGCCCAAAGAGCTAAATTGAGATGATTTACATCAGGGATCTTTAATTCCAGTCCTCGAGTACAACTGTTATGCAGGTTTTAGATGTTTCCCAGTGTTGTGGGGCTCTTGAACATACGTTTGTCTGGGACCACACCCCCAATGACTGGCAGCTGCTAAAAATCCTGCCCCAATTTAACTTCCTGTCCTGCCTCTACTCTAGGTTGCTCTTCCGTGGCCTCCTGGCAGGTACTTGTACTGTAACCACTGTGTTTTACTGTGAGCCGTGGGGAATTCACTCTTTGTCTCCTTAAAAGTTTTAAATTTTTTAAGTTCCTGAAACCTTACGTGAGGCTTCCCTGGTGGTGAGTGGTCAGTGTTTGTCAGTACTGATAAGCCTGCCAGCTGTTTTTGGAAGGCTCTTTTTAGTATTGTGATCTCACTGTCATACTCTTATTGTACTGTTCTTAAAATGTTTGGACCCCACGGCTTTTAGTTTTCTGTGTATCCACAGTTAGTACAATTGGCTATATCCCTGGACTCACCTCCTGGTAGTCAGCCTCCCCATCACCAGTGTGCTAGTCATGTAATTTTGTCCTAATATACTGTAATTCCTTCATTTGTATACATTTAAAAAATGGTTGACAATCTTTTTTGTTGTTGTAAATGCATTCTAGTGGGTGTTTGTTTTTCCTAAATGGAATTTTTAAGCATGATTTAAACATGTTTTAGTTTTTAGTTAAACATTCTAACTGTAAAATGTGTCAATAGATACTTGTGGGGAGCATACAGTAGCATGGATGTCTATCTACCCAGCTCCCTGTGCAGGGGCAGCAGCTATTCCAGCTCCATTCAAATGTGCGTTGTTAAATGATCCCTCTTTCCCAGCCTAGTATAAACTGGGGATTCAGCCTCAACAGTGTGGTTGGACTTCACAAATCTGCCTCATTTGGCAAGTAATGAGGACTTTACATACTCTGGAGAGCAAAACACTTTGTGATCTGAGAATTCTACACCTGTCCAGGGAGTCTCATCGACTTAGGGGTAGTGTTTGTGTTTGAACAGCTGGTGTAGAAAGACTAAATTTCTCTCCAACTCTATCGTCCTGGTTCAAATGACATCGTTTTCCTGACACTCAGACCAACTTTAAGACACTTTTGCCACATCACCACCAATATTTAGACACTGCAATAGGGGTAAAAATACATTTGATCTAATCAAACATTCTTCCCTGAGGGAGCACTTTGAACTCACAGCCTAGAATGTGTGCAAAGACGCTGCTACTGCCAATGCACACATCATTCCGGGGGAGTTTTGTGAGTTTGGGACTGGATTTGTATCAAAGTGGGTGGAAGATGATACTGTTAAGAACATCACAACCAGAAACCCTGAATCAGCAATGAGGGATGCATGCTTCTGCAGCGTGTGCTGTAAACCCTGCTTTACTCAGGCATGTCTGCGTTTGCTGGTACCCTTCAAGATATGGAGCAGGCATCAGGTGGAGATGGTTATTTGGAGAACCATCGGAAACCCTTTTAACTGTCACAGGTTCCTCACGTTGTTAAAAGTGACAAATTTTCTCAAAGAATCCATGAGCATTAGAAGTCAGGGTACTATCTTCAGGAATGTCTTGGTGGGACAACAATGCAAAAGTAGCTATTTTAAAGAGGGCAGGTAACAAAACAGTCACCTCCAGGAGCTCCTGTGCTTCTGTCAACCCAGTTGAGCAAGTGATACACTACATATATGCTGAAAAACATATAAAAAGACACATGGCATATCCCTTTCCACATCTAGCAACTCCTCTGGGAGGATCCCGAGGAGCTGCTTGATGTGGAGAGGGATGTCCAGGTTTCCCTACTTTACCTGCTGCCCCCAAGACCCGACGGAGAAGAAGAAGGAGATGGATGGGTGCATTTCGGTTCTAGTACAATTGTGTTCTACATGCATTAGAAAAAGAAATAAAAAAGTTCCAAATAAAATCTAAATCAAACACACCATTTAAGGATAAAAAAGGATTATGTTCCTCACAAGTCTACTGCCAATGATGTGTTGATTTAAATCAGGTGTGCTGAAGCAGTGAAACATTTCAAACCTGAATGACAGTTGTGCCTGAGATCCCCGATTTAGACGATCCTGTGACTTTATAACTGCTAATAAATATTCACTTATTTGTCATAGATACCTAAGGAGAGAGCAACTTTTTGATCTTCAAAAGTCAACTTGCTTTCTCTTAAAGCACCTATCAGATTACCATAACTTGGACGGTCTGCACAGAACAGTCTTAGCATGATGACACACTAGAAGCAAGAGACCTAAAGGTAAATCTGCGGTTCAGGCTGTAGAAACCACACACCCAATGAGCAATGTTGTGAAGATGTGTTCTGTTACCCACTTGAGGCTCTGACAGGTTTGGAGGGTCGTGGAAATCAGACAGCACCACCTCAAAGGAGTCATCAAACACTTCATTCCCCAGGTGCTTGTAATAAACTATGGACTGAGAGAGGTCCCTCTGGAGAAAGTGGGTGACTGGGTAACCTGAATTGAAACCACAACAAGCACAACCCAGTACAGTTCCAGCATTAACGAATGCGCAGAGAGAGAAAAGAGCATTTTCCACTCACCTGCCAGCCCTGGTCCTGGGATTTTCATAAGCTCTCCTCCCTGAGGGAGGCGAGTGACATTGAACAGAATGTAGTCATCGCTGGAGTCCATGTCTGAGGCCTGAAGGGTGGAGCCTCTCAGCAGAGCCGTGTGGCCCTCAGAAACCTCCAGCAGCATGTTAGTTATAAGGAAAGGGGGACTGTCATCTTTGGGGAGGATCTTGATGGGGAACTTGTGTCGAGTCTGATGGTGACCGTCGGAAATGCGGAAGATGATAAAGTCCTTGGTAGAGTCACTGTCATCATGATGATAGTGGACCATGCCCGCTTTTATGTCACTTACTGTGAACATAAAAGCCTTTCCACCTGGATTTGTATGCCAACAAAGGATCAAAATTCATATCCGAAATGACAGCACAGAGCTTTAGATTAAGATTAAGAGTAGAAACTATGTGTATCTGCATTGACAATCTTTTTGCTAGTCTGTAGCGCTTAATTCTTAGCTTATTAATTTTATTTTGTCATCATTTATCTCGACATTCTATTTCTATATTCTTCCTATTCCTAAATCTTATAATCTAAATTGTCTCAATGTTGCAGATATTTTACAATATTTATATTGCTATGTTATATTGCTGTGTGAAAAATGCTAAACGTTGGTCTGGTTTACAGTGCTGCCTCACAAAAACACAGCACCCAGCTGGGACCTTTTCTGATGAGTTTGAATGTTCTCTCAATATATGAATTGGTTCCTTCTGGGTGCTCTAGCCTTCTCCCGCAGTCCAAAATATGTTAGCGTAATTGATGATTCAAAATTACAGCTAAAACTGACTGTAGGTTTCGTGTTTCAATATGGCCCTGTGATGGTGGCCTAAACAAGTTGTGCCCTAAATCTGGAATAGGCTCTGAGACCCCCATGCCTTGTGTGACACTGGACTCGATTCATCAGTTTAAATGTTGGATCTAGACGGAAGTGGGAAAATGTGATGCTTGTACCTTTTACAGTTAGCCGCCCATGCAGCAGGCCATCCACGGTGATGATGCGAACAGCGTTTAGGTTGTCATTATCCACAATTTGGAGCTGGTTCCATGTAATTGGACGAGATTGACCTTCTAACAAGCTAAGACCTGCAAAACAGAATGTTCTTCATAGTAAAGGATACATTTAAAAAAAGGCGTCAAAAAGTAAGTTTATGTAATTCTGGTTTTAAAAAACTGTTTGAATGCCCAGACCTCTATATTCAGAGAAAATCTGACTACCGCACTCTTGAAGGGGTAGTCAGACACATTAGGCTCTAAGCGCCCTGTGTCTTCTTTTCTGTTGGTTCCCAGTCTTAATTTTTCTGTTTAAATTGCAGTTTTTATTGCTTTTTGTCTAATATTTTCCTTCTGACCAGCAGAAGACATTTCTATATTTGTGATCATTGGAAATGTAAAGGTTTTGAGAGTTGTATGGCACATGGTACTAAAAGTATAAACCTATCTTACATTGCTTTTCCCCAGTAATATCAGCCAACCAAACTATTCCATCTCTTATAGTAGGTTTTGTGGTAGAGGGAAGCCAAAGCATAATGGGTTTAATAGTGTTCTTGTTGAAACCTCTGCATGCTGCTGGTGATTTAAATTAAACTAAAAGAGAATAAGAAATATCTCAAAGCAATAGGCTAAAAGAGATAAGATGCTGGGGGCATTTATTCTTTGAAGTAGGTAATTAAATTAGTGGAGTTTTAACATGAAGACATAATCAGTCAACAACAGCATGGCTGTTCAGACGTACCCATGTTCCAGGACACTCGGGGGGCATTTGTGTCGGCATTCCTTACTGACACGAAAATGGTTGACGGTGAACTCTTCTCAAAGTACATATCATGAACTTCAAATTCCATCTGCAAGGAGAATTAAGTCCACAAATTACCTGTATTTTTTCTACTGCAAATAAAAATATAAA